AAATATAGACATTCACCATAAATAAAATTCTATTTATAACAGTTTTCCTTTATATACACATTTACTGCTTGTGCCAAGAGTAAATTAAAATAATACTATTACAGATATTTAACTCCCCACCATTTCTTAGTCTCTCCATTTCTTCAAGTTCCTACTTGGATTAGAGATACTTGTCATGATTAAAAATAAATGGATGAGATTTAATTAAATAAAATAAAGCCCTAACTATGGTTAAAGTATTTAATTCCTTCCTTTATCCATACCTAAATAATATCTTTTGTCTCTCTTAACGCTAGAACTTCCCATAATTTCTCCCTCTACGCGCCAAATACATCTGCTCTGAAGGAAACACCGAAAATCATGGTAGCAGAGAAAATCTTTCTGATTTTTACCATGAAAATACAGTTGAAGTTAAAAATCAACAGAGAAAAACACAACAAGTGGAAAAACAGAGAACAAGATACCAAGTCGTGGAACTTCATTTTTCTGGAAAGAACTGCTCTGATATTCTCGCCAGGTTCTTCTTTATACATTAATTCTATTCCTTAGAAGTTATATACTTTTTTGTGCATTTCTTGTTGTGGCAATTATCGAGTAAAAGAACGTATACCATGTGTTTGTGAAAATTACTAAGTCATGAATTTTTTGGTATGGGAAGAATGGACTGAACCTTTTGGTGTGGAATTTCAGAACTAAACTATTTTGTTCTTTGGTGTACTAGACTTTGACTTGAAAGCAAGTAAATTTAGAAGTTTATCATTTTAACTTACAAATAAACTAGATTTGAATATCTGATGAATCAAGCTTAATCGATCGTCAAACTAGTATATTGTTATGCACCATTCTCTTTCATTATTGCTTGCTGAATTGTATCAATCAAATAAAAAATTTGGGGGTTCTCAGGGACTATGCCTCATAATTACTCTATAAGTCAAGTGTCATGTAAAAACTACTACAAAGTAAGTGTTCACTTATAATATGTGTCTTACTTTCTCCTGTTTAATGGTAGATTTATGGAGATCCCATCTCAAAATGAACATATGGATGTTTCCCGTTTATTTGAGCCTATAAAACTTGGTATGGAATTTGATTCAGAAGAGCATGCATATGAATACTACAACAAATATGCTGCTACAATTGGGTTTAGTGTTAGAAAGGAATATGCAAACAAAAGTAAAGTCCACGGATATGTGACTTCGAGAAAATTTACATGTTATAAAGAAGGTTATAGAGGAAGAGACAAGCGAGAAGCGATGGTCAAGAAACCTAGAAAGGAAACTAGGACGGGTTGTTTAGCTCACATGGTCGTAAGTCGTAAATCAAATGAAAAGTTTTCTGTCATTTCATTTGAAGAGAAGCACAATCATCCTCTCGTTCCTCCATCTCTAGCTCACATGCTGCCATCGCAAAGAAATATTAAACTTTCTCAAGCATATGAAATTGACTTATTGGATGATTCAGGAATATGTCCTAAATCATCTTTTGACTATGCTTCTCGTCTAGCTGGGGGAAAAGCTTCTTTAGGTTATACAAAGAGGGATCACATAAACTATCTTTGTGACAAAAGAAAAGAAAGTCTAAAGTAAGGAGTGGCTCGTAGTTTGGTCGATTATTTGAAAAAAGAGTAATAAAAGATCCATCTTTTCGATTCTCTTTACAATTGGATGATGATGGTTTGATAACAAATGTTTTCTGGGTTGATGCTAAAATGATAAGGGATTTTCAGATTTATGGTGATGTTGTATCATTTGACACAACATATAGAACAAATAAGGAGTATCGACCATTGGCTTTGTTTGTTGGGTTAAATAATCACAGGGAAATGGTTGTATTTGGTGCTGCCCTTTTATATGAAGAAACAGCTGAAGCATTTGAATGGCTTTTTACTGTATTTTTTAGAGCTATGTCTGCAAATAAGCCACAAACATTCATCACAGATCAAGATCCTGCAATATGTTTAGCAGTATCATTAGTGATGCCACAAACATACCATTGTCTATGTATATGGCACTTGGAACAAAATGCATTTAAACATCTTAACCATATCTTTAGAGCTCATAAATCATTTCCGAGTGATTTTAGCAAATTGCTTTATTATTACGAGTATGAAGATGATTTTCTAAATGCATGGAAGGAAATGCTTGAGAAGTACGACCTTAAGGATAATAGTTGGTTGAAAAATACCTTTGCTATAAGGGAAAAATGGTCTATGACATATGGTAGAAATGTATTTTCAGCCGGTATGCGAAGTACACAGTTGAGTGAAAGTTTCAATGGATCACTAAGGGGCTACCTGAAATCAGATTTAGATATTGTACAGTTCTTTAAGCATTTTCAAAGAGTTGTTGATGATAAGCGTGCTATTGAAAGTAAGTCAAATTTTGACATGACCCAACGAATATCTGTTTTAAAGGTTAAGCTTCCTTTATTGATCCATGCGAGAGAAATATATACTGCAACCATATTTGATTTGTTCGAAAAAGAGTGGGAAAAGTCATTACTTGTATCTATAAATGGCTTTCATGATGAAGGAGAATTCTGTAAATACAGTGTTAGCACGCATGGAAGTCGCAGAGAGCATGTAGTAGCAGTGAAGTGCTCAACAAAGGTAGTCTCTTGCAGTTGCAAATTGTTTGAATTTTCGGGTGTACTATGTGGACATGCTCTAAAGATTCTGGACACATTAAACGTGAAGGATAAGATTCCTGACCATTATATATTAAAAAGGTGGACAAAAGATGTTACCAACTTGGTTGCAATGGAGATTAAAGTGTTTACTGAGGGAAGTGATCCAAAAGTTGAAGTTAGTACAAGGTATAGACATTTATGCCAAACACTTGTCCAAATTGCAAGTGAAGCTTCAGAATCCAGAGAAGGATATGAGCTGGTTGCACAGTATTCCAACGAGATAATTGCAAAGTTAAAGGAAGTAAAAATAAAAAATGAATCTCATGAAAGTCCACCAGTTATGAGCAAAGTTCTGCATGATGAGACAATATTTGTTGACAGTGCAAATGTCACAAAGGTGACAGGGTTAAAGAAGAAGCAACCAACTCGTCGCTCCAATACTCGACCAAAGAGTTTTGTGGAAAAGACTAGGAAGAAGAAGAATAAGATTCAATCGCCAGTATCTCCTCCATTGCAAACTGTCCAACATGTAAGTCACCTTGCAGGCCTCCAAGCACCATGTCCGCCATTGTCTAATGCCACAACAAATAAGGTATGTCACAACAACTATATTTTATTCCTTGTGTGATATTGTGTAAGCTTATTTTTCTCATTTGCATGATAGGGATTGAGAGAAGAAAATTCTTACCCTTGGTATTCTTCAGAATTGTCCCAGCTAACATCTCATGGAAGTCTATCTCAACTCCTAAGAGTTAGTATAATTTACTTTTGCGATTTTATGTCCTTATTTTTTTAAATAATACTCTCATATGAATTATTTTACTTGTAGGATATTTCATTTCATAACTTAAACAAGTACTCTCAAGGTTGATCGCCAATATCATGAAAGAATGAAGGTTGCATAGCAATATAACTCGTCACCACAAAGATGATTTTAGAACTTCTATTTATTCCAAAAAAATAAAAAAAATCAGTGGCTGTTTCTAGCTTTGGAGTGTAGTTTATAAATGCTTCCATATTGAAATATGATTCTCTATTATGACAAACATCAATATTGCAATAGAATTGAGATAAATCATGGTTATGTTTATTAATTATTATGACTTTGGTATTTTTGTGTTGTGAATGAGCAAGAGGATGGATGACTTTTGTGTTGGTGAATTTATCTTGCCGCGCTCTTTCATTACTGAAGCAACTGAGCAGTTGATCTATATTCCCTTTGAAATTATCTCATGCTTATAATTGATGGTCTGGTGTTCACCTAGAAAACCAAAGGAGACGCATAGCTTGACAACTCTATTATTGTGGGAAAGAACTGCTCAAGTCTTTTCTCATATAAATCTCAAAGAAAAAAAATTCATGATACTTTCGATTTTACTTCTTTGGGAATATTGATGCAGATGCTTTTACCCGTCTAAGTTGAAAGAAGTTGCTTTGAAATTGGTCCAAGATTGGAAATGTTGGAACTTACTTCTAATATTTTTATTTTTCAATGATAATGTAAGAAGATTTTGTAAAAGTAAAAAAAGTAACACGCGGAAAGAAAATTACTATTTTTGTAGAAGTGAAAGAGAATTACTACCAGAAAGAGTGAAGAAATCTTAGACAATCTGTTGCTATAATTGTGGGATTGCAAAAGATATTATTTAGGTATGGATAAAGGAAGGAATTAAATACTTTAACCATAGTTAGGGCTTTATTTTATTTAATTAAATCTCATCCATTTATTTTTAACCATGACAAGTATCTCTAATCCAAGTAGGAACTTGGAGAAATGGAGAGACTAAGAAATAGAGGGGAGTTAAATCAATATATTTATTTTATCTTCTCTTAAACTATTATTTCCAATCGTGTACATTGGTTTGCTAAATTTTATGAGATACTTTCCTTTTTAGTCTGTTCCATAGTAAATGACACATTTCTGCATTTGAAAATAATTCAACTTTAAACTTTTAATTTTACTCTTAATGCGAAGCTTTTATAATCACACAAATATAATGGTCACACAAAGCTTTTACCCCTTAAGCTTTTAAGACCATACATTTCAAAAATCTTCTTCTTTTTTCTTAAATTTCGTTAACGTTAGCTCAACATGGAATAGTGGAGAACAACATAGATGGAAAGATGGGATATTCTTTTGTTTTAAAGAGAGAAAACCGGTCAATCACAGAAAAATGGGTGAAGGGAAATCTTCGATATTTGTTGAAAATTTGGCGGAATTTAGTCTCTAAATCAAAAGTTATGTGGAGGGGAGGGGGTTGATTTTTTACCCGAGACAGTAAATTAAAGCTGTGGCAGGTTAGCAGCAAGTTTGATTGTGCGTTAAATTCTTCTTGATTTATGTGTTGACTTCTTAATTTATTAGGCAACATTGAGAAGTTTTGGCAAAAATTGGAAATGATTCGAGACAGTCATTCTATGTATAAAACACAAAAGGCAGAGTCGTAAGATTATTTATTTTTTCCAAAGAGTTATATAACATTACACTGAGATTAAATGCTGCTGCTTCTTGCAGGATAGACTTGGAGAAATCGATTTTTTTTGTTGATAAACTGGACATTTATTTAATAGAAAACAGAACTAGGAATTACAATAGGTATGATCCTGTGGATCATTTATAGTGGTTGATAATCCATGCATGGCATGCTGATTACCAATATTTGCTAGATGGCTACAGGTAGTAATAGAGACAGTTTTTACATAAACATTACCGCATTTGTCTGTCAGCATCCTGGTCATAACAAAAGGTGGAGGCAAAAATAAAAGTTCTATATTATTGAAAGTAGAAAGGGATCTTGCATGCTTTGTCAGAAGGTGGGCTACTTCATTTCCTTGTCTGACATTATGCTGGATCACCACTGTGCCCATTTGTAACAGAAGCAACCTACATGAGTAAATAATAGAGTCATAAGTTATGCTTCCTTCGTTGATGAATTTAATTACCTGTGTGACGTTCGTCTCTATTTCCAATGGTAATAAATTCCTTTCCTTTGCAATACATTGTCCTTGTTAGAGGGCCATGATTTCTGAGTGGATTGGTTCTCTTGAAATTATTTTAGAAGTGAAACCTAAGGTCCAATCTCCATTTTGATTTCTAGAAATACCTCCTAGACCCCAGTAGCGTCATTCCTAGTGAAGGTTCCGTCAATATTTAGTTGGAATTTTTACCTCCTATAACAAAGGTTAACACCTTATTTATTTTAAATAAATACCATTTAAAAAAATTATATTCTATAGATACCTTTTAAGGTTTATAGCAAAATATTTAATTTTGGTTACCTCCTAGCCCTAAGCCACTAAATACGCTAATCAGTTATACTTTTTTCTTTCTCTCTCTACTTTGATACATCCCATTCTCTTCCCCCATCCCATTAAAATTTCCGCTCTCCCCCTCCTTCTAACGCACATCAACAACAAACCCTAACCCACACAAAACAAGCACAAACCATCATTCTTTTTCGCTAAGTATTTAGTTTAATTTGGTTCAACAAATTTGACAGCTCCATATATATAGTTTTTATGCTTACCCCAAAAATATTAGTTTAAGGAAGGATGCACGATCTGTCAAGATCAAGAAGAATATGGATATGGTCAAATTCAAGGTTCGCTGCTCCAAGTACCTCTACACACTTTGTGTGTCCGACTTTGAGAAGGCCGACAAGTTGAAGCAGTCACTTCCTCCAGGTTTGAGCATGCAAGATCTTTGAAGATGGAAGGACTATTTGGCTACAAGGCAAAAATTAGGGTTTGTTGTTGAGAAAAGACGACGGAGTTTGGGGTTGAGCAACTTCATTTTCTGTTAATATATTTCAATGTATTTTCAATGTATCACGCTGTATTTTCATGTATTTCATTGTATTCATTGTCTTTTTTCATTGTAATTCAATGTATCTCGCTGTATTCCGTATATTTCATTATATTCACTGTCTTTTTTTTCATTGTATTTTAATGTATCCCGTTGTATTCTGTGTATTCATATGTTTTTTCAATTAATATAATTTATGTATTCAGATGTATTATATAATTTCTCTGAAGATTGCTATGTTTTTGGGGGTTATTTCCAGTTGAGAATCTTTTTTATAACCGGAAATACAAATTTTGTGTGTTATAATTGAGTTTGTTGAGTTATATTAGTAGTCTATTATGTTATAAACTTTCCGTTTAAAAACAGTGTAATCCCCTATTTCACGCCGTGAATACAGTCGAACACAGTAATCTATCCAGCTCTAATTCCATGTTTCACGCCATGAATACAGTCGAATACACTGGAATACAACAACTGATTAGCTGGATTTCCCTGATTCACGCCTATTTTTGCTACTGTATTCATGAATACAATAGTTTAAATACATCAAATACATCATATAACTGTGAGCACGTGATTTTTGCCTCGCTTGAACTATTCCTATAAAATTCTTAAAAATTAGGATTTTTCTTTATTATTTGAATTTTAGGAATTAATTGCATGCTTTTCTGTTTTGTTTGTATTTTTGTTGTGCAATTTGTATAAATAAAATTCGAAAATATAAAAATAGCATTTAGGTTCCAATTTTAGCATTTTTATTAGTGAATCAATACTAAAAAATAATAATAATAAAGAAAATAACAAAAATGGTTCTTTTGCATTTATACTTTTAATTTGTCTTAGTTTGCTTTTGGGTTAGGAATTAGTTTATTTGGAAATTAATTAGTGTAATTTTAGAGTTAATTTGGGTTTTTATTCTTATTTTTGCATTTAACAAAATTCAGAAATTAATAAATAAACAAAAAATCAAAAGAAAAGGAATTAAAAGACAATGGGTCTTCATTTTTGGGCCAAATCCGGGTGAGACCAGCCCAATACCAAATCGTTGCCCAGACCAGGCCCAAACCCCGTCTAAACCCGGCCTGCCCCCCCCCCCCCCCCTTTAGTGAAACGACGACGTTTTCTTGTCAAGCAATCCCAGCCGTCGAGGATCTTTGATCCAAAAGCTGGGAAGTGAGTTCAATTTAGTATAATATGGTCGGATTCCCCTACCCCTACCCCCTTTCCATCTCTCAGAACCTCACCGCACATAACCCTAATTCCCGCCGCCCTCCGCCGTAAGCCGCCGCCGGAAATCGCCCACGGCGGCGGCGAAACTCCAATCAACACCAAATTTACACCATCAACTCCCCTTCCCCTCCTCTTTCCAACCCCCAAAATATTTTCCCTCGAATGTTGACCTAGCCCCTCGAATATCCAAAACAGTGGCGCCGCCTCCGCCGCCCACGGCGGCGCCACCACCAAATGACCCAGTTTCACACCATGGACTCTCCTGGTCTCCCTATTTCCAAATCCCAAGTCAGAATCCCTCAAACGCAAGCGAAATTCCGCGAATTTTAAATCTAGGGTTCGAAGCTTTCGACCCGTTCTAGGAATTTCAAGCGTTTCTGTTGGTTTCTAATTAATGTTATATGTCTATTTTGGACAAAATAAACATATAACACTAATTGAAAATCAAATTCGAGATTAGTCGAGTCGAAGGCCAAAAATCAGTAAGATCTTTTCCCTTTTATTTGATTATTTTTTCTGCCTGTTTTGATTTTGTTGTGATAATTGTTAGTTAGTAAAGTTTTTTTTTAAATTCTCCTTGTTCTTTTTTTTTCTCTGTAGATTTTTCGTAGGCATTAGTTTCCTATTTTTGTTTGTTCTAGTTCATCTTAGTATTTCATTTCTTTTAAGATTGATTTAGGGTTGGATTGGTTTGATTATATTTTGTCATCTATTGACTTGATTCTCATACTGATTCTGCTTCTAATATTGACAGTGTTTTGTTTGTTTGTTTGACTGCTGATAGATAATAGTAGTTTGTAATCCAAATAGCTAGTCAATGTTAAGATTTGTGATAGACTTGGTTTGGCTGATTAAGTTTTTTTTAGAATTATTAGTTTAATTATAGTTAGTTAGAGGGGCTAAGATGATTAACATAAATTGGTAATTCAGGGAAGGTCAAGGGTAATTTAGGTACTTAGAGTGGCAAAGGAATGTTGTAGGATAAACTAGAACACCCTAGAAGCTTCTAAAATAGGGCCTCAATTGTAGTTTCAGGAATTTAGGGTAATAACTTAGGCAACAAGTCAAAACATTAGGATTAGTGAACAAAATCTGAAAATAAAGAGGGGGAAAATG